AATTCTCCAATCCAACAAGGTATGCAAGGATTTTTTTATGTCGTTGTTTTTTGTTTTTGTTAAACAGTGAGAGCAAAATAACTTACTGGAAAATAAAGCGAGGAGCTGGATGAGCCGCTCACGGTGAAGGGGGTATTTTCACAGAACCATTATTTCCCCATCCCATCTCCACTTGGTGTCGATCAAAACATACCATTGGCTATTTAGTAAAAAAAAAAGAAAAAAGAAAAAATGCAATCTGCATGTGCACATGCACCAGTTACTTTATGTACAGTAAAGGAGTGGGGAAGGGGAAATGAAAGAGAAAACTATACTGCAGTCGTCAGGAGGTGGTGGAACCAAATGGTGGTTTCTAATGGAAAATGGGTTCTTGGTCGGTAGGAAGAGAGTTCTGGAGGAAAGGAGCAGGCTCCCTTTTAGAAGACGCCTCCTGTCTGCTACTGGAACACATCCATTGTATCTTCGTCCTCCATTTCCAACTGGGCAGGTGGGTCTGTTTCATTGATTGGCTGTCCGTCAAATCGGAATCTGATCTGCCTCATTGACAAACCCTGTCGTTCACAATAGGCTTTCATTAGTTTGCTAAGTGGCGCATGCCTTTTAATCTTAAACTGCACCACAGAACCATCCTGCCCCGCCACCTTCAAATTAATATGATCGTTGTTCTCAGTCTTGACTCCCTTGGGTTTCTCGTCGGCCATGGTGAGCGCAGAAGTCTCCTCCACTGCCGCTTCACAAAAGAGGCGCCAGGTCGGCACCAAAGGAGCACACAGGCAGCTTCCCTGAGTCTGTAAGTCTTTTAGGGATTAAACAACTTCATCTCTGGTACATCTGAACTGCTGGCTTTACACTTCGCAGCCCAGTGCATGGCTCTCAAAGCCATGGTCTTGGAAGTTCTAGGCTTGTTAAGAGTCAGAACTGACTGGATGGCAGTGGATTTGGTTTGGTTCTAATACTGTTATATATTTGCCAGTGGAATATCAGTCTGTTGCTAATGCCCGCGGCCTAACTACTTACAATGGGAGAAAGTTTCACTTAAAATGATCAGAAACCTCTTCTAGTTGATCTGAAAGTAACACAACTCTGTTGATTCTGCCCCATGAACGGGAAGGGATTCACAAACTTTGAGATTATTCTGCTGCTGTTTCTCCAGATATCTCGTTATCTCGTCTACTGGGTGACAAGTTTACCATTCTCTGCCTTTACATCTCCCACGCTCGGCAATGAACAAGCATTCCTGTCAGCTGTACTAGTTCCAATGTTATCGATGTGGGCCTAGATGTTTTCCTTGTCTGTCCATGTGATTTAAAATCAGTCGAACATGCTCAGTCTATTAAAACAGAAGATCTACGTAGAAGAAAATTGATGAGTTGATAGCAGTGTAGGCATTTTCATTACAATTGAGACGGTAAATTACAGAAGGATCTGCATTAGTCAAAAGTTCTTCTTGTTGGGGAGCATAGCAAAGTTGGAGGAAACATTGGGACGAGGAACAATATTCCTAGTGATAAGCTTCCGAACATCAATCGACTTTCTAAAGGGCTGGCTTATAATAGTCACATAGATTGTAGAAACTATTTTTGGAGAAGAAATTTGGAAGAAGTTTGGAATCTCCCTTTTTTTAAAGTTTGTCATCTCTTACAGTTAATTTTACCATAAAACATCTATCTAATAACTTGCCATCCTTGCTGATCTACGCCCCTTCCTTGGACCCCCTCGCAAGCCAAGAGATCCCTGAAAGTAGCAATCCCTGTGAGACACCAGGTTTCTTCAAAAAGTGTGTGTGTCTTCATTTCAGTGACAATCGGAAAAAGCAAAAACCTGTTCTGGACTATCCAGAGAGTCACCGTGTAACTACAGTTGTGGTGTCTGCACTGATGTGTGTTTCTGTGTAGCATGGCTTTAGTAATGACAGACGAGTGAGAACGAACAGTCAATGATGCATTCACAGACAGCTAAATGCAAGCATAGCAGACCCTACGGATGGCACGTATGCAATCATCTGAGTGGGCAAAGGATGAGAAAGGACCATGGAAGCGAACAGGGTAGAGGGCCATGAAACCAAATGAACAGCAGTCAGTAGCATATTCATATTGCTAGTAGCAGTTTAGCTTCAACAAACCATTATCTGTCATAGAAAATTAATATTGTTCTTTTGAATGATATGGATTGATTTGTAGCTTTTGGTTTGTTTGTTCTAATCATTCTGCAAAATCTGTGAAACCCAGAACTTGTTCAAGGCAAAATCTGTCAGAAAAGGAAAACTGAAATCGTTTCCACTAAAAGAAATAAGAGAAATGCGATGAAACCTCACCTTGTCAAAGACAGAACATTTAGAGACCCGGCAGCCCCATCATGTCCCAGCTCGTAGAGGTTTCATGGTATACCCGAAAGATGTGACCTATCATATACAAGTTTTAAATTCATACTGTGTAAGAATTATAGCCATAAGAAGTTTATAGCTATTTTCATATTAGGTACCTAAGAGAGAGATTCAAAAGTTTATGGATGTGGTAGTTACATAATCTGGTGTCAATTTGGGACTCGAGAGGATTAAGAGTGAAGGGATGGAGTCTAGTCTGTCAATTGGATCATAGCCAATGAGGCCTCTGTGTGGGCATGGCTTTCCCTGAAAATTCTGGAAATCTGTTTTTTCCTCCTTGGAGGCAGGAGAGACTCTGCTCACTCCCTTGGAGACACTCTACTGACAAGACTCTGATAGAGATCACTGGCCTGTGATCGTCTTACATTCGGCATCATTGCATGTATTTTGTAAGTCTAGAGAGGACTTTATAGATTGGTTGTGGACATATGGGCTAATATTGGACTTATGAATTTGGGATGCTTTCTTTCTTTCTTTCTTTTGCTTTCTTAATGTACAATTACCCTTTATATATATCTCTTATACACATATGAGTTTCTATGGATTTTTTTCTCTAGTCTACCCAGACTGATACAATGGGAAATTTCCATTACCTTGTAATTCCATTTTTCCACACTTCTTGAAGTCCCCTTGTATACTCATACAAATGATATAATAATTTAGTACTATTATGATGCAGTCTTTTCTCCTTTACATTAATCACATTATTTAACTTAGTCCTTTAAAAGACTTTGTATATTACTAAGTTTGAGGAACAATGACTTTTAAGACACCTGTTGGGTCCGTTGCTCCTATCCACCAGGGAATGCCCAGTTGGTCAGAGGAGAGGCCTTCCTGTTGACCAGGCAGTAGACAGTGGCAATCTTTAGTCCAAATCATCAGGTCTAGAGTAGCAAGGATGATTTCACACTACATTCACTCACAAACCAAGACAACTTCAAATAGTAAGAACTTATAACAGACCGCATCCTTCAGCAGTAGAATTTGGGTACAGTAGGCAATGCCTTTATTTATATTAAAATTTAAAAGCAAATCAATTTGTGACGTATGCCTTGAGACAGACTCTCTTATAAAAATTAAGATTTTCCATCCTGTTTTCATTTATCTCTTTGAGTAATAAGATTCCCTAATATAATATTTGGTCACTACAAATTGAAAGAAGAGATACATAAGTTGGACCCAACTGTATAGCCTTTCAAGGAAATATGGCTTACTCGTCTCACCTCAGGATGATTTGTTGCACACTGGCACTGTGTTAGTCTGGGTTGACTAGAGAAACAAATTCATAGACACTCATATGATGTAAGAGAGAGCTTTGTATCAAAAAGCAATAATATATTAAGAAACATCTCAGCCCAGTCCAGATCAAGTTCATAAGTCCATTATTAGCCTATATGTCTGACACCAGTCTATAAATTCCTCTTCAGACTCACACAACACATGCAATGACACCGAATGCAGGAAGAGCACAGGCCCATGGTCTTGTGGATCCAGTGGCAGTAGAAGCATCTTAGTGCTGGCATGCATCTCCACGTGGTTCCTCCAGCTGCAGGCCTTTGGCTGCACCAGTGTAGCTCTATCTGGCTTGTCAACAGGAATGTCTCGAAAGGAGTGAGTGTGTGTCTGGCCTTCAGTGAGCTATTTATCTCCTTCACGCCTCCAAATGAGGTCATCAAGCTGTGGCCTGATTGACAGGCTAACCTCCACCCCTTCGCTCTTAATATTCTCAAGTGGACACCAGCTTATGTAACTACCACAGGCACTTTCAGAACACTTTTGCACTAGCATTCAAATTTATACAGCAATTATGAGCAAATTCAAGAAAAACGCACTGCCTGGATTTAAGATGATGTAAACCACCATAAAATGCCTTATGTTGTAAGTCTATCTAAATTATAATGAAAATATGCCAAAGCGTGGGGCACTGATTCAATACAATTCCATTTGGAATTATATAGTTTTAACATGCAAGACAAGGGAATATACTGGGTCTGGAGAGTGGGATTGATGGGTATTACGTCGTTTCTTTACTCTCCATCCCTTGATAGTCATTCCTTTGCCATAGTCACATGATCCCAGTCACCCCAGTCCTGGAGCCAGTGGAGGCAGCTGCCTTACTCTCAGATGCCAGTGTCCTTCAGAGCCCCAGAGCAGCAGGGACACCGGAAGGGGCTGGAATGCATACGCCAAGCCAAGAGGTCTTTAATAATTTGCTCACAGCAAAGGGGGACTAGGATTATTGGCTTGTCAACTTTAATATTTACAGCAGCTAGTTTCTGATATTAGGGCAAGGACTAGCTATGCAAATTGAATGTAGCCTCCGGGCTGTCCTGTGCTCACCCTTGGCCAAGACATTGCCTTCTTTGATCCAGCTCGGTTCCTCATTCATACCTGCCTCCTCCTTGCTTGTCTTGGTTGCAGGCTTATTCTTCCAACTTCCATGTACGCATTCTCCAGCCTTTATCCTCGCCTTTGAACCCTGGCCTGCCTGAAATGGAGAGCTCTTCTATCCTAAGCCTAATATTATTATCAAACATCGGAATGACTGTGAGGTTCGCGTAGGACAAGGCAGTGCTTCCTTCTGTTATACGCAGCGTTGCTATGAGTCGGAGCTGACGCTATGGTATCTAACAACAATACTGTGATCACCCCTAAAATTATTTTGATTATTACTACAAACCAACCAGTGCTCAAATTTCAATTAGCTCATTACTGGAATAGCACCCTCCCTTTATCTTTTCCCTCTGATAGTTTGCTTTTCAATCAGGACCCAAATATCACTCATTTGATGTGATTTGCTGAAATATCTTCCATATGCTTTTTTATCTATATTGTCTCTATTCCTCTTGACATTTTTTGGTTGAGGAAACCCGATGACGTATTCTACAGTTTCCCACAGCCCAGGTTTCCCTGAGTAGACCCTGTGACATACGCAGCCTGCTGCTCTGTCCTACATATTTCCTCGATCAGGTTCAGCAGGGAATATTTTAGGCAAGGCAACTTTGTTACTGTTCTGTGCTCTGTTGTCCCATCAGACCAAAGACATAATGTCTGCCCTCTCAAGACAGTCTCCTTGTTTAGTAGTTAATGCCTCAATCTATTAATTCAGTGAGGGGTTAAAATAGTGATATGCTACCCTTATTTCTCTTTATTTTTTTATTTAATCATTTTATTGGGGGTTTGTACAACTCTTATCACAATCCATAAATCCATCCATTGTGCCTAGCACATTTGTACATTTGTTGCCCTCATCATTCTCAAAACATTTGCTTTCCACTTGAGCCCTTGTTATCAGCTCCTCCTTTTTTCCTCTCCCTCCCTTCCCCACCCCCATGAACCCTTGATAATTTATACATTT